GAGTCCTTACTAAGGACCTGGGATAGGCAGATGTGGATGTTTGATGGCATTACAGATATCGTTGCAGGACAGAGGCAGTTCCTAGTAAGGCCATCTTTTGCAATTGACTAATGGCGAATTTGTCAATGCCAATGGTGTTCAAATGGTGCTCCAGTTTTTTTGTGATTTTAGTCAGTCTGTGTGATCTTTTGCAGCAGCTTACCAGGTGGTCCACTGTTTCTTCAGCATGTTTGCATAGGCGGCACTTACTGGCTGTTGCTGTCTTCTCAGTTTTGACTTTATATGCATTTGTAGGCCAGTTTATTATCAATAATAATAATAGTAATAATAATAATAATAATAATAATAATAATAATTCTTTTTCTGAATGCTTTAGCTTAATTTCAGAGATTTTTGTATAGCTGTTTGGATTAATGGCAAGGTTGATAGGCAACAAGGGCAGTTTTTACATTTCATTTAATGGATGTTTTCATTTATATTAGAATTTATCTAGTGTCATTCAAGTAGGAAACATATAAATAGAATATAAATAAATATATAAATATTAACTAAAATTTAAAAGATATATACACATGTTGCTTAGCAATTGCTCAAAGTTATGAGTCATTTCCCCTTGAGTATCTGAAAACTGAATCATGGTAACTGATATACCTTTTCAATCTGGGCAAGTTGGTTAGGCAGAGACTCAACAAAAATAAGTCCAATTGCTGAGAGTCAGTTTTCAGACATCTATGTGGATAACTGAGAATCATGATCGACATATTGCTGTGCATTTTGGGGCAGAAACTCTGAGTTTGGTGTGGAACAAATTTTATTATTTATTTGTTAAATATATTTGCTGCCTATCTTGCTGTAGGGCTACTTTAGGTGGAGTTGGTATATTCCAAAAACTATTCTATATTATTTTGGGTGTCTTGCAAAAATATAACCAAGTCATCAGCAAATGTCTTCAATTTCTAAACTTTCTTTTTGATATTTATACCTGATATTGATATTTTTGAATTTCAATTAATTGGTTAGATCTCCATTAATCATAATCTTTGTTTGCTGTGACATATAAACTGCTTTAATCCCTTGAATAAAATTCTCCCCAAAATCCATATCTTTCCAAACTTTAAACATAAAAGCCGAATTTAAATTGTTAAAGGCCTTTTCTGCATCCAAGAATATTAAAGCTGCCTGTTTCTCATAATATTGTAAATATTCAATAATGTTCAAAATAGTCTTCACATTATTCCTTAGTTGCCTTTATGGCAGAAAGCCAGATTGATGTTCATGAATATGCCTGTAAACCTTCTTTAATATTTCTGCCAAAATTGCAGCAAAAAGATTATATAGTCATTGTTTATTAATGAAATTGGGCTGTAATTCTTTATCCTCATGACATCTTTACCTTCCTTCGGCAATAGCACAATATTAGCTTCTTTCCAAGTTGGTTATTCCACCAAATTTCAATGATATCTATTACATAATATTTGTCTTACTGAAATAGGATCTCTAATTCTTCCTATTTATTTCCCATGCTCTCTATAGAAACATTTTATTTAGGATCAACTATTGGTGTCTTTATTATATTGTCCCTCAAATCTCTTGAGTCCCAATCTTGGCTGTATGCTTCTCCCTTCTGTTCTGTTATTTTGGCTCTGATTCTTGGCTACATATTAAATTTTGAGCCTTTGCAACCTTGCCTTCCTAAAGAGAATTGTGAGATAAGCTCCCACTTTTATAAGATGTACCATGTCTCCTCCCTATATCTTCCATAAAGTTAGCACAATTACAGCCCTATCAACCCTTTACATCAATACTCTACAACCCCAAATTTGTGATTTGCTAATCATTAAACCAGTCTAGAGTGATCTATCTCTGCAGTTTTCCATTTATCTCTAACTAATTGTCTTCTTTAACAAGTTTCACTAACAGTTTCTCCATATCCAAATCTCTCACAACCTGTCAATTTCCCAAAGTAAGATCCTACATTAAAATTCTCAATATCTAAGAATGGCCAACTGAAACACTTCTAACTCAGATGCCATCTATCTATATATTTGAGTAGCTTAATATTTCTTAAATACTAAATATTTATCCAAAATGATGATGAGTCTGCATATAGATGAGAAGTAGATCAGCTGGTTCTGTGGGGCAGCTGTAACAATTTGGTGTTGAACAGCTCTAGTTTTGAGATGACAATTTATTTTAGAAGAAGCTCTCCTTTTCTACCACCTCTTACAATATTAGTCAACACAGTATCAACAGTAGAGACTTCCCAGTTTCTAGATGTTTTTATCTCTAAAGATTTGAAATGGTTACCTAACGTTAGAACCATCATTAAAAAGGCACAACAAAAAATATTCTTCCTGTGTCAGCTCAGAAAGTTCAGACTACCCAAGGATTTGTTGATAGAGTTCTACAGAGGAATTATTGAGTCTTGTCATTTGTATCTCAATAACTATCTGGTTTGGCACAGCAACCAAACAGGACAGGTGCAGACTTCAACGGATAATTAGGACTACAGAAAAATTATTGCAACCAGCCTGCCTTCTATCGACGATTTGGATACTGTACAAACCAGAAAGAGGGCTGAGAAAATATCTACAGATCCCTCATATCCTGGACATAATCTATTTCAACTTCTCCCCTCAGGATGCCACCTTGTGCTCCTTACCTAGGATCCCATCCACTTAACCTATGAAATCATTTAATGACTACAACTAGAAGTGCCAAGATTGCTATTGTTGATTAAAGTGGCCATGTGACATCTTGCTTAATAACTATTTTGCTCTAATATTCTGGTCCCAATTGTGGTTGTAATTTGAGGGCTACCTGTTCATTGCTTTCTTCATGTGCATCAAATGTGCCTAGTAACAACTGGTTTATTTTATGGAAATGCTTCCAATAACCAACTCCGTTTTTAATTGCTTCCATACTTAATGGAATGTCAGTGTCATCCTTAACATAGTTCTATGATATGGCAAAGGTAGTGGGGGTATATTATTGCAAATTTAAATATATAAAGTTGCTCATAGCTGCTCCATGTTGGACTACAATTGGCAAATTTGACCAAGATGCCAAGGGCACTGTTTGATGAAGTAATCTGGAATGGGTTTGAATCAGTAGCTCTCAAGGAGATGAACGGTATTCTCTGCACAGTAAGTTTGTTGGACCCAGGCCTCTAATGGTTCATTAAGGCAATCGGGAAGGTCACCTGAATATGAGTCCAGGCAGTAAGATTGATCTCTTTAAAGGAAAGCGTGGTATGCTTCTTCCTTAAGAGATAAGACATTGTATTGCCCTGTCTCCAGCCTTCTCTTTTTGGAGAAAATTGTTGAGAAGGAGGTTGGACTCAATTACTGTATGTTAGGATTCAAGCCAGGATTTAGATGCAGTAACAACCTTGGTTACACTTGTTTATGACCTTTGTGGAGCCAGGATGTAGGTGGTACGTCTATCTTGTACTCCTTTATCTTTCAGCAGCTTTCAATTTTGTCAGCCATAATATCTTTCTGACTGACTCCAAGGATTGGAAATAGGGGGCACTGTTTTATAGTGGTTCTTTTCCTTGCTTTGTGTGCCTTAGTGCTATATATCAGGGGTCCCAATCCCCAGGCCGCCGCCCATTAACAGGCCATGGTCTATTCGGAACTGGACCATGCAAGTGCGGGGTGATGTGCACATGTACAGCTCAACTTGCACAAACAGCACTGACGTGCATACCCATGCACACGAAACTCAACTTTGCAAGTTGAGCTGTGCACATTTGTGCACATGCTGGACCACTGCTCACATGGATTGATTCTCCCCCCCCACCGCTGGGCTGCCAAGCCACAAAGATTGGGGACCACTGCTCTACATCACTCTCCCATCTGGTTAAAAGGTATATGGAACCACATAGACTTAGCCCTGGGAGACAATTTTGATAGCCTAATTTGGCTAGCTTGGTATTAAAAGTTATAATTGGTACTATATCAATATAGATATGATACCTGATTCCAAACCAGCAGATGATTCTAATCTTACATTAAGTTCTCTTTTATGTTTGAGCATGTAATGGAATGTACAACTGGAGAAGCAGTGGGGAGAGAGTTTGGGCAAAATAGCTCTCCTAGAGTAAAACTCAGATCAGGGATGGCAAACCTTTTGGCTTTGGCATGTCAAAAATTCAGAAAATACCTACCTTGCCTGTTCTGATGTGTCACACACACCACCAAACAAAAGAAGTCTCTTGAATCTTTTCTCTGTATTCTCTTCTCTCCTGAACTCTCTGGACACTCTGGAAGTCTCACAAGAGGACCCTGATCTTGCAGAGCATCTGGAGCACAGAAAATTGTGTGAGAATGCTCTTGCAATTTTCAGATACCAAAGGCTGTACAGAGCAAGACCCTCTTGTGCAACTTCCAGAGGATCTGGAAGCCTTCAGTGTCACCAAAAATGGCATGATATGTCACCTGTGACACACATGTTAAATGTTTGCAATCACTGGTCAAGACTGCACAATTTCAAGCAGTCCTGGGAGGGGGAAAAGAGGTTCAAAGTAGCCATTTTCTAGAATCTACGAAGATATATTTAGTAGGTTAAAATATTACAGCTTTAGTTTGGCAAGATTTTATCTATTAGGTATAAGCAAATAAGGGATTGCATTTTATGTCTTTCCTCTGGGCTTGGGCCTAACAGAACATGACATAAAGTCACAGCTCTTTATATAAATTTTCATAATACTATGGGACCTTTTGAGTCACACAAAGTAGTGTTATGTTGTTTTTTTTAACTTACTCTGTATACTGTTTGATTACTAGGCACCTTAAGTATGGAAGGCCAGTTATAACATTTGATTTCTTTTAAGATATATTAAATGGCTTTACTCATGCTGCTTCAATACAGTATATCTGATCTTAGAAAGTCTCTGTTACTAAAGATATCATTAAACAGAAGATTAGAACAAAAATGCTTGGATAGATTAATATTTTGATTCTGTAACATTTATTACATTTTCTTGTTTTTCACAGATGAATGTGTGGTTGGAAAAAATCCTAGATAAAATAATTAGCATATTCATTATATTTGTGCTAGTGATATGCACCCTGCTGCTTGCACTGCTCCTCACAGCAAAGGTATGTGTCCTATTAAACAGTGCAACATTTTACTGAAACTTTATTCATTCTAATCTACAAATTCACTAATGGTCAGTATTTTATTTCTTCTCAGAATTGATATAATCAATGTATATTCTAATAATCACACTAAACATCTACTGTATTGTAATTGAAAGAGAAAAGCAAGCATTTTAGTTTCCCTCAGATTGGATTTGTTTTTCTAAGAAAAAAGCAAAATTATGTACAAAGCAGAAAAGCAATTCTGTTCCAGCCAGGTTATTCATATGTCAGGACTGTGATGTATTTAACTTTGCGAATAGCCTGCATTGTATCCATTATATTAACAGGCCCTCTTATATAAAGATAGATAGGTGCATATTGACAAAATATAAACTGTATTTTTCTTTTCTTTTTTCCCTTGAAATAAGGAAGGAATAAAGAAGATAATATATCATTGTGGTTATAGAAATTTTCTTATAAGAAAACAAATATAAAATATGTGCAGTCTGTAAAAATGAAAATACTTTAATTTTTATTATGTCTATTGATGGCTAATTTGTCAGAGTACCAGGCTTTTAGAAATTCCCTAGTGTTTTTGGACTTGGCTTAGTCTAGGATACTCACAGTTTCCCAGTTAAGGCTGGTTAACATATAGTTAAGTCTATATGTTGCAAAATTAAAGAGTTAAAGACATAATATCTAAGTATATACTATACCAGTGATGGCGAACCTTTTATAGACTGAGTGCCCAAATTGCAACCCCAAACCCACTTATTTATTGCCGGGTGCAGGTGGGCATGGCTGTGGTGGTCATGGCAGACTGGGTGGATGTGGCCAAGGTAGGCGTGGTCACCTTGATGATGCTTGCGGGGAAGGACGCCTGTGGGGGCCGAGCAGGGTAGGGGGAGATCCGGGGGGTCTCTGGCAGGTGGGGTGGTGGGTAGGAGGCTTGTCCTGCAGATGAGGCGAGGCAGGGTGAGGGTGCCATTATCTCAGGACAAGGCAAGGCAGGGGCCGGGGCAGCTGCTGCCTAACATCATCGGCCTCCGCACACAGAGGCCAGCGAGCACATGGGGGCCGACAGTGTCCGTCAGCAGCCACAGTCTGCTGGCCTTTTGACTGGCACACTCTGGGGCTCTGCAGCCCGCCACCAGCAATGCCATAGATTCGCCACCACTGTACTATACAAAAGGACAATAAGCTAAGAAGGGAACAAAAATACCAAAATATCTTGTCATTAATAATCAGCACCCAGATGAGCATAGATTAACTCCAAAATTAACATTAGAGCAGCACCCAGAAGTAAATAATACCCCAATAAAGAACTGTGAAAACAAGCTAAGAGTAAACAGCCCAACCAGAACTTCCAAGACCACTCCCACCAACACTGACAGGGACAAGCCACTAAAGCAGCAGTGTCAAATTGCCGGACTACGGGCTGGATGCTTCATGCCGAAACCACACCCATCCCATTGCCGGCAATGGGAAAAAAAGTCGCGATACGTCGCAACACGTCACGTGATGCTGCAAGTTTGACACCCCTGCACTAGAGTATATATAGTAAGCCCATCTTACTAGCACTGATAATGTTATCTAGTTTGTGTAATGAAACATCTGCAAGAAAACAGTCAAGCTCAGAAAGGACCCTTCATTTCAATATTCTCCTGTATTGATAATGTATAAGTTATCCCTTCCCTATATGCATATGATATCACAGCATAAGCAAGACGTTCAAAAAGGTTCAGCGCAAAGGAGAATGATTTTGACAGTAAACACTTCCATGGAAATACTCTTGCTTCCACTGATTAAGAAAGTCAATTCAATATGTCCTGCCATGTTATAACTCTCTATTATTCAAACAGAACTCATCTATTTTTTTGCTTGCTTCATCTTTACATTCTGGAGACTCAGATGTGGGTTAATATAAGTTAAACTTGCTTCTTGTTCAATATGCAACTTTTATTTACTACAGTACTACTCATGGTTCCGTGTGAATTAATAAATTTTGACCACACCTTTAATCATAAAGTCAGCAGTTAAACTTTTGCTTTCTTGACAAATAACTATGTAGCGTTACCTCCTTAGAGGCCGCAAAAAAAACCAGGTCCTCCCAGCCCCATCCCCCTTTGTCAAGCTCTGCAGTAGTGTTCTCTAGGGTTGATAAGATGTGTCTTCCAGCTGAAGCTCATGCAGAATTAGTAGGTAGCAGGCTCTTGTCATCAAGGAGGGGCTTCCAGGAACGAAAATAACCAGTCATGATAGTCAATGCTATGATGATATCCAACAGCCCAAGGCCGGTATAGCAGCAGGAATAAAAGATTCCTCAGTGATCGTTCAGAGTCAAGTGGGATGGAGAGAAAATCCCGACTCCAGACGGTAGTAGAAACAACAACAGTCAATGTGCTGTAGCAGTAGCTCGTCCCCCCCCCCGGGGCAACTCCCTCACAATGTCTTAAAACCTGTAGTAGAAGTGATAGTCACAGTCCAAATTGTTTCCAGGCTCCTCAGCAGCAATAGCCACCCCCAGTCTCTCCTCTCTTTCTGTTACTTCTCCTTCAGTCAGGTTTCAGCGTCAAAACCCTCCCCCCTCCTTTATCTTTATTGTTAAAATCTGAGGCCAACTCCTCTCCACACAATCTCTCTCTTGTCTCCGTTTGAGATATCCTCACGAAGGAAGCAAAAACTCCACTCTCTCTCCCCCTCTAGCATCTGTTTAAAATATCCTCATTACGAAGAAAACAAATAAAACTTCTAGTCCCTTTACCTTCACCTGACAAACTGCAACTGCCCCCCCACCCCCGTCTCTCCTCTCCTTCTTTTCTATCTTCTCCAGCCACACCGGCCACACCCAAAGCCACCAGCAGCTGTCCCAATCTCTCCCTTCCCAACCAAGCTCCTGCAAACACTCTCAAGACAGCTTCGCTACCAGTCCCCCCACCTAACAATTTCTTTGGTCCCCCTAAGAATAGGTAGTTTTCCTACTCGGCATTTATATTATCAGGAGCGGGCATCACTCTTTCTCTACACTGTGTCCTAGTGCATCATATGTCAACCTCTTCACCGGGCGTATCACCCACCTCGGTCTCTGCACCTTTGGTTCAACAGTATCATGGGCACCGTCCTCTGGTGCCCCCACCATCCCCGGAGGTACCCGGGACTGGCAACTCTGCCTCTGACACTGGCGATTGCCAACCCCGTGGAGTAGCTGGATCCACCTCCAGCCATTCCCCTGGCTCTATAATATCTGGGGGTAACACTCCATCCTGTTCTGGCCATTCCCCAGACTGATCTCTAACCTCAACTCTCTGGGGAGTCCCCTCCTGTTTGCAAATTCTAGGTACGGATTCCAAGCCGTCGGACCCTGGCTGTTCTAACTCCACCTTACCACCCACAGCCTGGGACACACTCCCCATGTCCCCTGATAACCATAACCAATCCATATCCCCCTCTTCTTTAGAATCTTCTACTTCCTTCTCTAGAGATGAGGCAGGTTTCGCCCTGATTTCCATTCCCCTTCCCACTACACAGGGCTCATCTACAGGAACTGGCTGGGTAGCTCGTGCTGCCTTGTGTAAGGGCAATAGATGGTTCTGGTGCCATGCTTTTGAAGATCCTGTGCTCCCCTCCCGTCGTATTCGGTATACTGGCAACCCCAGCAGTTTCTCAGTAACCACATACAACTGGGAGCCTCACCGATCAGCCAATTTGTGCCTCCCAGCAGGGACCAAATTTCTTAATAGCACTCAGTTCCCAAACTGTAAATCCTGGACCCTTACTCTCAGATCATAATTCCTCTTGTTACGCCGCTCCCGGACCCCTGTGGCCTCTGTGGCTTTTTCATAAGCCCCCTTTAAGCTCCTCCTCGACCTGTCCACATAATTACAGTGAGACTTAAAAGAGGTCTCATCCATTGAGGTACCAAAAGCCAGGTCTACTGGCAGGCGAGCTTCCCTGCCAAACATTAGCCAGTACGGGGAATACCCGGTAACGTCACTTCTTGTGCTGTTATAGGCGTGCACGACGGTGGAGACATGTTGGGTCTAATGCTGCTTCTGCACTTCGGTGAGGGTTCCCAACATATCCAAGAGAGTGCGGTTAAGTCTCTCAGGCTGCGAATCGCCTTGCGGGTGGTACGGGGTGGTGCGGGACTTCCGAATACCCAACAAGCCCAGCAGTTGCTTGACCAGCCTACTTTCAAAATCCCTCCCCTGGTCAGAATGTATGCGCTGAGGTAGCCCATAGTGTACAAAGAATTTCTCCACTAATACTTTGGCCACCATAACAGTGCACTGATCTTTCGTTGGGAAGGCCTGGGCATAACGAGTAAAGTGATCGGTCATGACCAACACATTTCCTTGTCCACTGGCATCCGGTTCTAAGGAAAGGAAATCAGTGCAGACCAAGTCCAAGGAGCCATGACTCTGTAAATGGCCCATTGGCGCAGTTCTAGATGGCAAAGTTTTTCTCTGAATACAACGCAGACAAGATCTACAATAATCCCCAACTTCCTTTTTCAGGCCGGGCCAGTAGAACTGATCCACTACTAAATTAAAAATCTTTTCTGGCCCCAAGTGCCCATGCTCGTCGTGAAGTGCCATCAGTACTGCTTCTCTATGTTTCTCTGGGAGCAAGAGTTGCCACTTTTCTTCAAACCCATCCGAGAAGCCCCTTCGATAGATTACACCATCTTGAAACTGTAGGTGGTCCCATTCCTTGTGCAACACTCGTGCTCCTCTGGGTACATCGGTGATAGAGCCTCCCACTGACCACTTCTTAGAGCTCTTCCGACCAAACCACAGAGGGGATCTTCCACCTGGTCCCTCCACAGATCTTTCTTAGTCAGGGCAAACCTCCTCTCTCCTCTGATCTGAATAGGATTACAGTATAATTTGGGGACACCCACTGATTCAGCCCCAATTGCTCCCCTAGCTCAATGTTCAACCCCTCGATACAGCGCTTGGATACCATCAGGGGACAATTGTACCCACTCCCTAGTGTCTACTCCTGGACCCTGGGGC